TTTTCCTTGCTGTTTGTGAATTCTAGCAGACTTGCTCGCCTACACTCCTACTTTCATCTCCTGACTCAGGGACCTCCTCTTGGTCCTCCAACCTCCTTGGGGGTCCCCTTCCCATTGTGGCCTGTAAACACTCAAGGCAATAAGCTGAGGTGCCCTAGAGTTCACCTTGTTTGTTTCTAGTCTCTTAGGGATCCCTGACCTTTGTTGCATGATGCCCAAAGTCTAAAAAAGCGTTGCATATATTATGGGCAGGTAGTTTTTTTGTTCTTGTTGTTATTTCAAATGGGAGGGTAAACCTAGTCCTAATTACTGTCTCTTGGCCAGAGCAAAATCTTTTTTCTGTGTGGTGTTCATTTTGTCCCATTTAATTGGCTTATGTCCTTTTGATACATCCTCATTAGTTGTCAATATTTTCTTTCTGGTGTGTCAAGAGGTCCTAGACCCATCTTACTCATTTCTTGCTCCAGACCTGTAATTACCGTTTTCTCCAGGAAACTGATTTTTTTGTTGGAAAATTCTTTAAATAGAATATATCAATAACAGTTTGGCAAAGACTTAACTGTATTAAAGTGATACTTGGCAAGTGTTTTCTAAAACTAGTCTTTTGACTGATGCCAGTCAATGATTGAACAATTCTTGGTCTGTGTCAAAATATGAAAAATAAGGACAAAAGAATTTTTTTATAAATTGAAATTTATTGAATATAAAGAAATATTTTAAAAAATTAAGATTATTTCTCCAGAAGAGTCAAATGAGAACCTACAGATTGGGAAAAATTAGTTGGCAGTGACATGTCTGACAAGGGACTTACCTCTAGAATTTATTGAAAACTCCAACACCTCAATAACAAAAAGACAAATAATCCAATTAAAAAATGGGCAGAAGATATGTTTAGATACTTCACCAAGGAGGATATTCATGCAGCCAACAAACATGAAGAAATGCTCATGATCATTAGCCAGTAGAGAGATGCAAATCAAAACAACAATGAGATACCATCTTGCTCCAACACTAGTAGCAAAGTTCAACAAGACACAAAATAACAAATGCTGGCAAGGATGTGGAGAGATTGGGACTGTAAAATAGTACAACCACTGTGGAAAGCAGTATAGCAATTCCTTAAAAAGTTGGAATTAGAAATACCATTTGACCCAGCCATCTCATTACTTGGTATATATTCTAAAGAAGTGAGTCACAGCCATGACAAGAGCAGACAGATGCACACCCACATTCACTGCAACACTATTTACAATAGCAAAAAGATGGAAACAACCTAGGTGTCCATCAACTGAGGGATGGATAACCAAACTATGATACATATACACAATGGAATGCTATGCAACCCTAAAGAATAACATAGAATCTGCAAAACACCGCATAACGTGGATGAACTCAGAGGACATTATGCTGAGTGAAATAAGTCATGGGATGGCCTTAACAAACAGGAGTTTATTCTTACAATTTGGAGGCTTTAAGTCCAAGTTCAAAGTGCCAGGCTCTAGGGGCTGGGTGAAAG